TTTATCCGACCCGGGAGTTAATATCGCAACGCGTCACCCGAACGTATTTTTTGGAATTCTGCTAAACCAATCAGTGTATATAAATAAATTGTAAATTTGGTGTGGGAACCCGCGGATATATAGACTTTATCACGTTCTCTTAAAAATAGAGTTTTTTAAGGCATATTGCGAGAAAATTTTGCAGTCTCGCGCAAGGAATTTATAAGTAGTAATTCGAAAAAGGTTCAAATATTGGCCACCATTTCTAAATGCGTATAATAATAAATTGTATATTTAAGGCCCAAGGAGCTCTTTCATTACTAACATAGTGCCGTCGAAAAAAGAAAAAATATAAATGTGATGATCACAGCTGCGCGTAAGTAACTGTATAACAACAGCAAGGAGTAGTATGTCACGCGTAGTAACCTAGTAAGTCAGATCCGATTTTCAGCGAACTTTCCTATAAAACAATAGGCAGTAAAAAAAACTCCTACATTGGTGGCAGAGTTCAGCGAACCACTGATTTCCAAAAACAGGTAGGATAAAAAAAACTGCATAAATAGGTAGTTAGAATGATATAGTCTGATATGATGCAGTTAGCTGGTATCCTGATGTTGAGTATTCAGAACGCTTATTGTCGTTGGAAAAAAATATAGTATTATGGCGGTGAGATAAGAGGGGGACGTCGGGGACAATGGGGTTGAAACGAGGAGAGGACGGTAGAAGTTAAGGCAACATCACCGAGACCTACCTGACTGCGAGGCCACCGACAAGTTGGCGACAACACTATAGCACGCGATGACCATCAATAGCGACCTCGAAGATCACCGCCAAGGTTGCAAAACGGATAAGAGTTTGTAGCATTTGGAAATAATGCTTGACTCTGCAAAAGAAGATTTAAACATATTTAGTGATCACTTTACTATCCTGGGAAGAGACTCAAATGCCAGGAGGACCCTTTTCGAAGTCTACAAGTTGCGTGTTTGGGAAGGAAACAGATAGTAAGGACTTTTTTCTTCCAAATTTAAATGTTTACGTAATTTACCTTTGAAAAATTGGTAATGTAGAAGACAACCTAATTTCGAGTGGAAGATCGTTCCAAATGAAAAAATATTTGGAGGAAAGAAAACGAGAACGGTTAAATATGGAGCTAAGAAGTGGTGAAATATCATGGAGGACTTACGAGTGGCGTAAGGTCTGGTTACCGGAGTAAGAGCGTTTATTGGTGGGAAATTAGGGCTATTGTTAATGCAAACCAGGAAGCATATACCGGCTTCGAGTCTTCTTACCCACA